GTCCGTCACCAATTGTTTCTGCCCATTTAGCAGGGGTCCTGTTCCTCCCTGGGCCTTCCTTTTACTCCCTATATATCTAAAAAACAATTTCTTGTTGTCCTTTACTTGGGATGCCATCCTCAGCTCCATGGTAGCTTTGGCTGTCTAATCCTCCTGCAAGGAAAAAGTGCGAGCAGAGGAGGTATATTCATCTTTGGTGATCTCTCCCTGTTTCCACTTTTTGTGTGCTCCCCTTTTGGCCCTTACGCTGCCCTGGATTTCTCTGGTCAGCCAAGGAAGCCTCCTGGCCCCTTGCCCTCTTTTTCCTTGCAGGAGGATTAGGAGATCATAAGAAAATGTTTGTAGAAATATGTATTTTTCCTCATTTATTATAGCAATTATTAAAGTAAATCCCATAAATACAAATAGTGCTAAAACTAGAAATAAATTCAGCCATCTGAAATTAATTTGAATTGTATCGAAAGGAGAACACTTGCCAGCTCTTGGGTAACCCCATTTGGTGGCTCTTTTAATGAAATAAATCCTAACCACTATAACTCACTGAAGACAGTGTCATTTGAGATATATCTGTTAATATGTTTCACCTTAGTGTGGCCTATCCAAGGACATGTGACATGCTGCAGTACATTATAGTATGATGCAATCTTTGCCATAGTATGTCACATAATAAAACAACAATGTATTATCGTTTGGTATGCCATTGTAGCTTTCCGTGCCTCTCCCCCTGAGTATCACACGTCTGGGTCTCCTTTGAACCTTCTGGGTTGCACGGCCAGGCTACTGGGAGCGGCCTTGGATCAGCTTCCCAGGGGTCTCTCCTGCCATGCCTTTGATGATGATTAGTTCTTTAGCAGGAGGAAGATGTTTTATCCTGTCTACCCTGGTACTCCCCCTCGGTTGTCCTCGTGATTATTGTTCCTTGGGGCTCCGCCTCCCCATCATCCTGCCTAACGCCAACCACGATGTTATCCGTCGGGGCAAGTGTTCTGGCCCTTACTGATGCTTGATTTCTTAAGGGCTATGGGTGTGAGCTACTGATGGTATGGGCACCGAGCGTCCACTGCCGCCCTTTGGTGTTCCCGGATTCACAGGATGTCAGCCTCTGCCTGGGCTTTGGGTCTCCTTGACGGGTTACCCCCTCCCTGGGTTCGGTACCACTTGCCCGTCGTCTGCGTCCAGGTTCTGGCTTCGTTATCCTCGCCAGTGTCCCAGTCACCGCTGCTGCTAGCCTCTGCCCATGCCAGCCTTATAAGTGACTCGCTGGACCCTAATTGCCCTGCCTTGTCTCCCACGGCTCCCCCTCTGGGGCACCACCATGTCTCCTCTGCCGCCAGCCCCTCAGTCCTCTTCGATCTCTCTGAGCCGGGTGAGAACGCCTCTTCCGGTTCCCTCCAGCTTCCTTCCTGCCAGGGCTTTTATCTCGGCACGGGGTGGCCACTTGGCCAATTGCCCCGGCACGCTTTTACAAAGCGCGCCCACACAGACGCAGGAGCCATTGGCCCCTCTTGGCTCCACTGTGGGTTTTCCTTTTGATCTTGGACCATGGCGGCAGGAGTCGCCGCGGTTTCACTTTCACCACCGGCAGCCACTGGCGCAGCGTCCCATCACCTCTCTCTGGCTTCAGGTAAGTTTCCTCCACAGCCATATTCTAGCATGTTCTATGAATGTTCCATCCCATTAAAGAGAAACAAAGCAGTCATAATACATGAATAAAACTAGACAATGATTTAGTACTCACTGGTAGTTTGAAATTACCTTTGGGCCCCTCAACATGTACTGTTAAAGGTGCAATGGAATCTACTGCACTAGCTACACAGTTGCACTTCCTGCCATGTAACGCATGGCAGGAGGCATGATTGTGTCATGCCTTACTGATGGTGCAGAGGAGCCCAATCCAAGGCTCCCCCCACACCAATAAGAAGTAAGCTTCCATGGCTGGGAATCTCCTCAGTGAGGGTGGCCACTGGCACATCCCCAGAATACAGGACAATCCCTTGGTGAGGGATGGGCCCCCTTCACTAATCAGTGGTGAGAGGTGGGGCTACAGCCATCTCAGTCAATCATCAGGGAGGTGTGGGGCCACCCAGCCCCTTGGCCAGTCAGCAGCAAGGGGAGGGGTCAACCCTCCCTTCCTCCCTCCCTGGCTGGCTGAAACCCCTTTCCTCCTGACTGTGCACTGCCCACCTCTAGGCACAGCCAATAGAATCATGAGGACAAATGATTAACATGCACTTCCACCAATGAACTGAAAAATGGGACTTTTTTCATTCAGAAATGGACAGGAGGCAGAGGGTTTAAAAACAGGCTGGTCCAGTATAGAACAGGACCAATGGCCACCATATCCGCAGTTGAGGGGCTCCCAACTGTGGGGACACCCCACCCATCCCTGGGGTTCAGGGGTTGTGGCTATCGTGATCCCCTGGCTTCAGGAGATTCACATGCCCTTGGGGTAGCTACAGCCCCAGTTGCGGGACTCACAACACTGGCTAGGCATAGTGCAT